TGGCTCCGAGTTTGGACAGCTGGAGTGCCTGCGCTGGCTCTCACTTTCACCGGTGAGTTCAGCCAGGCCCAGGGAGCAGGGATGGAAAGTGTAAACAGCGGCTCGAGGAGAAAAGTCCTGTTCTTGTAAAGAGGTTTGTCAGTGCCAGAACCCTACTTTAGCACAAAGGAGAGGCCGGTGTTTCATGTCAGAAGGTGTGTGTACGCGCTGGTGGAGGGGGAAGGGGAGTTCAGGTCGGCTGAAACACTGCAGCCTGGGTTGAGCAGTGAGGATCTTTTAGTGAACGTCAATGGCGACGTTGAGTGTGCTCATCTCAGAATTCCACATGCAATTCCAGGTTTCTTCCATCTGAGCTGTAGATAATCCGTATGAGTCACAAGCCTTTTAAGATAGAGGTGGGGTATCATTCAGCCATGATTCATGATGTTTTGCTACAGTGCAACAGATATCCACTGTTTCTTGTCGGATCAGACACAGAAGAACAGGCCCTCCTTGCTCCTTTGGTTGCTATTAACTAAACTGATCTTGTTATCAAACCCAGCCATTTTCTGAATGGGCCTAGGTCCACCAGCGTGGCTGGGTAACTTGCTGCATGGGCTGGTTTCGTTTACTTGAGGTGGCTGGGTTGGGGGTTTCAGACAGACAGCGACTGCTGTTGTCTCTTTTCTCCAGAGGCTTCCCTCTCCTCGCACTCACACAGCTGGCTTCTCTCTCTCTCCTGTAGCTGTGTGTCGCACAGTCAGCGAGGCTCTGGAACTCGATCAGTCAGACTTAGTCTATAATAATCTCCGAAGCAAACACATACATCATCCAGCTTCTTTTCTGCGGAGACAGCTTGAGGGGCATAAATGTGACAAAGCCCCTTTTATTTATAATAACGGAGCGTTGTGACGACGGCGAATGTGACAGTGACATAGCTTAGTGTTAACCACTGGTGCTGCTCTGACAAGATCTCACCTCTCCTCTCTCAGTTCAAACAATCTGGGCTGTAAGCCTTTAAGAGACGCTGAGTGATACAGACTCATAACTTGCGCGCACATTTGACAAGATGTTTTTCATGAGTGTGGAAGCGTGCAGGGGCTTAATCTATGGCACATTCCACGTTGCAAATCTAGTGTAAAGGCAAACACTTCAGGAGGGTTTGTGAACAGTGATCGCTGCTCTGCAGGGGCTGGTTCCCAGGTTGGGTGGGATGCCTTTCTCTCAGCAGACAGGGGTCCTGAATGCTAACAGATACAGCATGAGTCAAGCAAGCGGCATGAGAGGGGGACCCCATTGTACGGTTACGACAAAGCAGGGTACTGAGCCCAGCTCTGAGACTCAACCATAGAGACCCCTTTAATGTTCAGATGAGGACTAACATCGCTACAATATGACAGAAAGTAGAATTAGCGCCAGCCTGACCTTGCAAGCATTGCATTTTAATTTCGGAAGACCTCAGAAGGAGCAAGGCTGGGCCTGGTCAGTGCTGGGAGAAAATACTTCAAAGGAAAGACAAAGTAAGGTGGCAGTCTCCTTCCTACACCAGAATTTCAAAAACAGGGCTCCAGTTTGTTGCTGTAAGAGGCGCCATTCTCCCGAAGAGTTTTAAACCAGCTCCAGACCTGGGCCTGGAGATCCCCATGACAGCAGTGTATATAGACAGCCTTTACGTTTGTAAAGGCCTGGAACAATTGAACTCAAATCAATTTAATAGGCAGTGTGTTCAATTAAGTAATTTAGAGTGAATTTCAAATCAGAATATCCTTCAGGTCTCAAGGACCAGTGTTAACCTCATTGAAATGTGACACGCCTTATTGATCAACTGGTTAAAGAAGTGTTCTTAATCTTTAAATAACAAGTTATTTAGTGTGACCTGTAAGAAGGATTGGGGTTCTCCAGGGCCCAGGGTTGGAGACCCCAGCTTTAAATCAAAGTCCTGACTAACGTGGTCATTAGCAATCTGGCCTGCTTAAAAGTCCTTGTTAATTTAATCGCTGAGGCAGCTTCTCACTTCTCTGCCTGATCTGCTGTGTACCAGGTTTTTAGTTTGTCTAAACAGCATTGAGTCTCAGTAGATCTGCCACAGAGGCAAAACCCATTTTCACTCTCAAAAAAGTCCTTGAATCGTATCTCTCTGAATGGAACAGCAGATAGCGCCTCCTCTGACAGTAACAAGGTTTTTGCTCTTGGGAAGAGAAAGCGCAGACCGGCTTTAGACTTACACGTCTTGGCGGACAAAAAATGAGCTACAATGAGGGAAAACTCTTTCGGTTGGATTGACAGCCAGAGTGGTCAGAAAGTGCCCCCCTGCAGCCTGCTGCACATAGTGTCCAGTATCCTGCCTTACGCTCCCAGTGCAGGGCGATGAGCTCAGCTTCTGATTCCCCTACACAAAATGCCTGCTGGTGCAAATATTCCCTTTGAGGAATATTTATACAAGCCACCTAGTCTGGGAGGCTTGAAGAATGACAGACAACGAGACTGCTTTTGCAGACAAATACAAGCTTTCAAAAATGCTGAAAGGCAGGCGTGTAGCCCAGGTGTGGAAATTTTCTTTTCCTATCCCATTTCCTGAAGATACAGTGGAACAGTCATAATGATCCCAGGTGGGGCTCACACTGTTTCGTTTACTTTTAGTGCTCACATATTGTGGGTTACTTGCGCGACATGGGGAGGCACATGCAAATTCCACACAGAAGGTGGGTCTGTCTGGACTCGAGCATCTAATCCAAATCTGTGATCCAAGGTATAAATCCCCACATTTTACCTGACTGCAAAAATGACCTGATTAGAGTAAAATCAGTTTAGTTAAATAAGGAAACTACATGTACTTGCATAACTTGCAGACTCGTTACAGTGCTGCAATTTTGCATTGAAAACACACAGTTTGACTTATTAGATCATTGGCAGTAGCAAACAAACCAGCCCTCACTGACAGCCATGCGAGTTTAATGCAAGATGGTGATAACAATAAAATCAAAAATGATTTGAGTGGAAAATGTCAGAAATCCCTTTGCATTCTTTGATAAGCTTTGCCTGCAGCTCAGCTCTCCAGGCCATCTTCAAAATGAATTTGAATTCTTCTTGAAAACAACAGGCTGCTCTGTAAGCACAGACCTATAGGGGTTTCGTACTTGAAATTTTGGGGCAATGACAATGAGTTCCTGTTTTGTTGCTGGTTGTTAGCTGTGCTGAAAGAACTCCCTTCCCAGCAGTGGAGACAGAATGCTGTGGAGAATGACCAGCAGCAGGGCCTGGTAGTCAAGCCTGGGGCTCAGTTCCAGACCCATGACAGAACCCAGGGTTAGGGGGTATGGGAAAAAAGGAAATTTCTCCTGAGCCATCCTCCCTTTTTTATGCACATTTTATTTTAATACCTCATGGCAGGATCTGCAATACAACAGAGGCAATCTAAAAAGTAACAGAAGTTTTAGAAATGTGGACCATTTGTGTCATCTTGCATGTCTGGTCATTAGTGGTTCTTCCTAATCCAAGATCTCATCCTGCGTCTGAAAGGATCCCAGTCATCCGGTTTTCTTGGCATGTTTAGTGTGTCCCAAATTCCCCCAGGTCTTTGTTGAAGAGAGAGTCTGCTATATTCTGGCCTAAATGGTCTTGTGTTATCTGCATATCTGTGTCCTCTGGTCCTGGTTTTCTTGGATAACAGTGTGTCTTTACCTGCTTTGATTCTTTCAAGTTAGTTGAATGGCTTTAACCATTCACAACCTTCACAAGCACCAGAAGACAAGAAAATTTATTTTTCCAAAATTCTTTAGAGCAGGTGTCCCCAATCCATTCTGGAGGACTGCTATGTCTGCAGGTTTTCAGGTTTTCTTAAAGCAGCAGCTTTAGAACTGAGAGACGTTTGTAAACTGGTCCAATTAAGATAATTATAAGATGATTCAGGTCATTATAAGCCAAGCAGGACTGAAAACCCATAGACACAAATAACTAGCCCTTCAGAACCAGGCCTAGGGACGCCTACTTTAGATTAAAGTCAACAATTGAGCATTTCCTCCTTGCAAATCTGTATGAGTGTAAGACAGAATTTCTGCTTTGAGTTTGCACGTGTTCCGCACAGACTGGGACTGTCTCTCCAAAGCATAATCTTCACATTCTTGAAAAGACAGAAGAAAAATGTTAAAAACCAAGAAGGCAAGAGCATTTATCAGGGAGTTTTGAATCCTGAAACAGCAGGATAATCCATTGTACTAAATTTAACTGCAATGTCTGTGATTTTTATTCCTGACAGTAGCTCCTGTGATGTGATGGGGAATGTTTCATTTTTATTTTGCTCTCTAAAATGTGTAGAACTTTGGTGAACCAAAATTTGTTGCTACTGTATGTAAAGGCAAAATGTAAGTACATACAGTACAGTAGGCAGAGGACAATTGGCACATCTAGCTTGTTTAGTAGATAATACCTAATTAATCCAGGTATTTCATCCAGTATCAACTGGATTGTACATTAACATTAACATGGCTGGATTCCTTGTTCTGCACTCCTACCACCCATTGTGTAAAAAAGTCCTGATTAGAGGATCTCATCTCGCTGTTTTGTAAAAGGAACCAGGATAGCGATTTAAACAATATGACTGGGTAGCTTCTTCCAAACTTCCTGCAAATCTCCTGTGCACCAGCTCTTTATTGACTGAGACTCATGAGGTCGGAATAAGTTCATTTTTGAGAACTAGTTGCACTTTCTCTATTTGCCCTATGCTTTTGCTTACCTACATCATGTTCTAGTAAAGTCTTTCTCTTGTAATGCCTGTTCTCTCTTGGTTTTACTGTTTTTACTGTCTGATTGCACTGTAGTATAGTATTATTTGTAATTGTACCACGGTAAGCGATTCCTGTGCCCAGTCCAGATCTGAGGATGACTGTGTACCGTGGCTGCTCCTGTTGGAGTTGCGTTCCGAGAGCTGTCTCCGCTTCCCGTCTCCCAGGGCAGTGCCCAGAGTCCATCCAGCTGCTTTGTTTCCCAGCATGCCCACATTTCTCCCCGTTCTGTTGTTGCAGGAGCAGGAGGATCCCAACAAGCTGGCCACCAGCTGGCCGGATTACTACATCGACCGCATCAACTCCATGGCTGCTGTGAGTATCCAGTCATCACCAGCTCCCTCACAACTTGCAAACAGCGTCCACATTGTCTAGTGCTAAATGGGAAAACCTTGTGTGCAGAGGTTTCGGCTTTGCATTGGACATACATTAACAGCACTTTATTCTTTTTCGTGGGCCTGCACTACACCAGCCCTAAAGCGGGCATTTAAAAGGCCTTAGGTTCATTCATTTTCTCGTGTTGTTTCTTTAAAATTGAGCCTTGCAAAAATATTTACTCCCCCCGCCAATGATGACGTCCCATTTTGTGTACAATGTACAAATGACGACTCCAAATGTTTTAAACTGAATATTGGCCATCGCAGCTGGATTCACGCTTTTTGGGGTGAAGGAATTTAAACTTTGGCACAGACGTCAAGCACCACCACTTGAAATACACGTATGCATCAATTCAGCAAAATGGGACATCATTGGAAGGGGGTAAATGTTTTTGCAAGGTGCATAAATTCCTACTTACCATTGCAAGCAGGATGCAAGCAGAGTGCCGTGATCTGTGCTGGGCTGGGAATAAACCACTGACTCGTGGGATCTTAACGTGGGTCCTGTCTCTGCTTTTTTAACCAACACACACTATAAAGAGTTTCGTTTCACCCGCTGTATCACAACGCTCCAGTAGATCTACAAAGAACTAATCATCATGACTAACCAAACACAGCTCCTCTCCCATATTTCTCATTATCAAAACACCAAAAGAAACTTTGACGTGTGTGCAGTGTTTATTTTAATGGCTGCAATTCAGAGCCTGCTGTACAATCTATCCAAAAGCCAAGCAGAATATAAAAGACCAGCTACAGAGCAAAGTGTTATGAATGTATTTTTCCAGAAGTCAAGGCCATTAAAATGAGTAAGGGGATGAAAAGAAGAAAAACAAAGGTATTTCTTTTCAGATTGAAAGAGCCTGCAGGAGTGGGGTGAGGGGGGAATTTGAAAGAGAGAAAGGTATTGGTTACCATCCATGGGCTGTGGCTGTTGGCTGTCCTAGTGTAAACACAGCTCAACGCGATGCTATTTGAGCTTCATCAACATGTTGGGCAGTTACATGAACATCCATGACTTCAAATTCTCCATCAGCAACCCTGCAGAAAAAATGCACACATACACACAGGTTGAAGCAGGCATTTTAGCATCTCACCTTCAAACATGCTAATGAAGAAAATTATTTCTCCTTAAAAAAGAATCATCTAGCAAGTGTTGTATTATGGATCACCAGATACTTAGGATTGAGACACAAATAGAGTAGGCCTTATGAAATACTGAAAGATCTGTCTTCTGAAACTAGAAAGCTCAGCTTGTGAGTACAGAGTACAGCATCCCACTGGATAGAATATTTTATTATTTTTAATCGAGGTGTAAAAGGCTAATGTTCAATGAATGTTTAACATTTGCTACAGATCCATCATTTAGCCATGTAGTGGTGCTGTATGCTATAGTTTTCTCTTTGAGGTAATATTGAATAATTTCCTGGAACATTACCTGAAGTAATACAATCTGTGTTCTTTTTTCAGATAGAATAACCTAGATCAGGCACAATTACAATAAAGCATTCCAAGATTAAGGTTTATATATGCTGTTCCTTCAAGGATAGAATTATAGACTTATTCTAAAATATAAAATGCTAGTGATAACTGACTTGATTCAGAAGAATTAATAACAACCAGATACAGCAGGCTAATGAATAAGGAAAAACAACAAGTAAAAGCAAAGTCTTCATATTGCTGTCCTTGCAATACTTATATAGTTCAGGTGGGTACTTATATGTATTATATGTATTATATAGAACTTATATGTTTTATACGTCGGTTCTGCTTATATGACAATATAATACCGGTGACAACAATGTCACTAACTTGCAGTCTGATCTTTTTAAATCTCCGAAGGTAGTTTGTCAGGGCCCAGTCATTATTGGGATGACTTCCAAGGAAACCAGATTGCTGCTCTAAGTGGTTTTGCGGGATCCTACAAGAGAACCGGAATTTCCAAACTCGATGTCCCAGTGAGTGACTTGGGACACTGGGTTGCCGGAGGTGCCCTCCCTCAATTAAAGATGTCAAGCCAAAGTACTGACACTCTGGTTGGTCCAGATCTCACAGCACTCTTCTTAAAATCAGATTAACCCCCATGTCCTGGCTGAATTCCACATAGGTTTTCAACAGTCTGGCTTCTCTGAAGTTCCCCCTTGATTCCATGCCTGAAGAAGTTCCTCATGTCTCCACCTGATCTGCTGACTAGTGAAGCCACTGTCCCAGAATGGCTGCAGCCCGTCTGCGCAACACTCCTGTCGTAGATGAAATGGGTCCCCCGTCCCATACGTAAAGTGCTCTGGGATCCCCTGGGGTGAAAAGTACAGTACTACATATATAATGCAAACAGTAATTTGTTAGGATTAGCTATAATAATTATTGACAAATAGGACCCAGCCAAGTGTAGCAGTTACAGTATATGTCTATGGCTTCACCTCTGTTCACATCACATTCATGTCCAGAAACTTACAAGGAAAATTCACTCATTTCAGAAAGAGCAGAGTGTGTGTGGAATTCAGAAGGATGTGGGAAGCTATGAGGTCTTTTCCCTGTGCTTTCCTGCTCTACTGCTACACAGTGTCCTGGCTGGGACAGAAGAGTTTGCATCATGGCTTCAGACTTTGAGGTCAACCAAAGCGATCTCCAGGGAACTCCTGGTAGCTGTTAATCTGCCAGTGCTGACTCAGTGCAAGATGAGATGCAACCTTGAGGGCAGCTGTGTAGAGCAGTGTCAGGGATCTGGGCTTGTCACTGCAAGGTTGGGGGTTCAAGCCCCAGGTGAGACACTGCTGTCATACCCTTGACTATGGTGGTTCACATGACTTTGTTCTGGTTAAAACCAGCTTGTTATAAATGGGTACAAATGTAAGTTACATTGCAGAAAAGCATTAGTCAAACAAATGAGTAAAGAAATGGTAGGCAGGTCTGCGTGAAAGCATGGCTTTCAGCAAGTTTGTGCAGTCATCACAACACAGCTTTCACTGCCTCTGGTTCTTCATCTCAGTTTGTGTTGCTTTTGTCTATTACTGCAGAGTGTAATGCAGAACCTTGATGTTTTATTTTTGTAACTTTTGTACAGTTTCCTGTGAAAAGCAATTAGGGATACCAGACCAGCTCTGGCATTGTTAATTTGGCTAGGTAAGTCAGGGGGCTCTTTTTCAAACACAGGGGAGCCATGACACATCGCTGGCCCAGCTGCTGGTAGCCAGCCCCGGTCCAGCAGCCCGTGGTTAGCAGGGATTACCGTTTGGGAGAGAATTGAAAACCAGAGCCGGGGTGCACAGCAGGCCGGCGATGCTGATGTGTAATCCCCACGAACAAGAGCGCACATATTAATTCGAAAAGCAGGAGCTGGAGATTTTGCAGTTGGCCGAGGTTATTAGAGCCATCTGGACAAGTGGAGCCAGACCTCCAGATGAATATTATGACTGAAACATCTGTCGGATTTGACATTGAGATCACAGAACAGGGCAGGAGCTCTTGAAAAGTGTCCTGAATACTGTAGTTTCCTGCTATCACTGCTGATTTACTACTCTCTCTATATATAGCTGTGTTGTAGCTGTATGACCTCCATTACATTTTCTTGCTGTGGCTCAAAAAATACATCATTCTGTACTTAATATGTAATGTACTGCGGTATTTAAGCTTTGTGAAGAGTAAAAGTTTCTAAGCCAAATGAGGAAGTGTTGCAAGCAGACATTATTTTCCATTGCTAAGATATTGCTTTCTTGTGTTACATTTTAGAGGTACTGTAGTAGAACACAGCTACCTAGGATGATGGTAAAATGAATGTGAGCAACACTTGCTGAAGCAGGATAGCTTCAAAATACAAATAAAATAAATCTCCACTTTTCTCAAATAACTTCTCTCCATTGGGGCAGTGTTGGCTAACAGGGACAGACTGAAAGGCTGCCAGGTTAAACCAACATCATGTACATTCATATTAAATTAAATATATGTGCTTTTGTTCATTTAATGTGAAATGGCCTTGAGTTTTATTACACTTTCAAGTTTTCAAAAAAAAAAATGACTTGTTGTCCCAGAGTTAAGGATTTAAGTGCACGGGACAGCCAAAACCCCAGTCTGCGCTATAATCAGTCCCCTGCCAGACGCCGGCCCCGTGCTCTGATCGGCAGGTCTCCACTCGCACCCGTAGCTGGAGTTGCTTTCTGGAGAGGGCACGAAGGTGAACATGTGGCTGTGAGCTCGCCGAGTTTTAAAACATAAACTTTGTCTCTTCAGCCCCCAGAAAATCTGGACGTTTCGGCTTCTGTCTTCTTTCCATCATGGCTCTTCTGATCCGTGTTTGCAGATGCAGACCCTGTTTGCCTTCGACGAGGAGGAGATGGAGATGAGAAACAAAGTGGTGGAGGACCTGAAGACAGCCCTGCGGACTCAGCCAATGAGGTATAGTACGTCCCGTTTTACTCAGCCAGGGCTGCTGGGATGGCGGGAAGGGCATCCTGCTTTGACAACAACCTGCCACCAGGTGTCACTGTGGTCCACATTGGGGACAGGCTTTGGGAGGCCCTCTTGAGTGGCTCTGATTTCTCTTTTTTCTCACTCGAGTGAAGTCCACTCAGATTGGTTGGTCTCCATTGCTTTTACAATGATCAGCTCTTCTGCCACGGCAAGGCTGCCTATGTGTTCAAGCTACCAGCCACTCTACAGTACAGTACACAAGTGAGGAGCACTACATAAACACTCATATATTTATACTCTCTAACAGATAAATTTGTTTCAGGGTGAAAGGCCTAGGTCTACGTATTTGAAAATCCTCAAAAACATTAATGACATCAACCCAGTAGACTTCCTTAGAATCAACAGTGAAACACAAATCTGATGTCACATGGGAACTGCCCAGAGGTGCATGTAAAACCAACAACTGGGGGCACTTCTTTATGTATAAGGCTGTGGAAGTCTGGAAGAAGCTAACCAGCCATGTTGTTAAAGGCAATAGAAGCGTTGTGGTTGGCTTCTTTCAAGAGACCACTGGATGAGATCATCTAGTCAGGCCAGGAGGCTCTTCTCTACACAAAGGGTGGTGGGAGCCAGGAACAAGTTGTCTAACCATGATTATGAAGCCCTCTTTTTTTAAAACAGGTGGATGGGATCATTGGATTAATTAACTACTGTACTAACTACCAGATGGGTCAGATGGGCTGATAGCCTCCTCCTGTTTGTAACTGTTCTTTTGTTCCCTCTGATGTCAGCCTATAGTCAGCCCTGACGAGCCAGCACGATAATCCAAGAAATGTGCAAGTTATTAAAGCACCCTCTGTAAAACTAGACCGACACATCAGACCTTGATGTCAAAGGGTTTTCCTGATTTCTTGGCACTGTCCTTGACATCCAGGTCTTGTAGCCCCATGGCCTCCTTAAAAAATGTTTTTACGCTTTTTTTACAATGTCGAAAAAAAGGCAAAATGCCACACCTGATTAAAAACGACCACAAACAGCGGCCACTTCAAGGTCCAAAAGGGGATTATTTTTATTTTTTTATTATTTTGTTTTGAGAGGCTTAAGTATCACCCTGCCTTCCAAACTAAATTTTTCATTAAAGTCTAAATAAAATACACATGGTCCTTCTTTCTGCTGCCTCTTTGCCTTCTTAATTTAGTTTTCACAAGGGAGAAGCCCACATCCCTTTCTTCTCTACTGAGTTTAGTCTATCCATGCTGGGCAGTGGGGTGTTTGGGAGTTCAGGTCATTTAGAGGTAAATTCAGCTACAGTGTCCGCTGCAGCTAACCTAACATTCCCAAATGTTTTATGAGTCTTTTAGCACTGGTGAAAAGGATTATCTTTTAATTATGTAAGAGATAGACCAGCTCTTAATCAATAAAATACAGTATTGAGCAGGATATACAAGTATAGACAGAACTTGCTACTGGGCTGCATGTTATGATACATGCAATAAGTAATGGAATTGCAATAAAAGAGCAGAAGATCTGTTATAAACGAGGGGGGCATCAGCCCTTTTATCCTTTTTTGTTTGCTGGAAGCTATTGTGATCCGAGGAGCTCGTCCAGCCTGTTCCACACTCCCACCACTCTTTGGGAAAAGAAATGCCTACAGTCCTGACTGGGGGATCTCTTTCAGTTGTTTCTTGAAAGAAGCCAGATTATCAGATTCGGCAACACAACTGGCTTGCTTGTTCCACACACCTACGACCCTTTGGGTAAAGAAGTGCCTCCAGCTATCAGTTTAAATATACTTCCACATTGCTGTGCATCATTTCTCATTGCTCCTGCACTAAGTAAACACCAGCTCCTTTCTCTGCTACAGTGATTCATATAAACAGGCCCATGTGGTATAGCACAGTGCACTAGAAAACAAATGAAAAACACCTTTCTTCCCTGGAGGTGTGGGCCTGGACTTGGCTTATCTCAGCTTTGTCAAATTCACAGTGGGTGGAGTGTCAGTCCCCAAACATACAACCAAACACCCCGAGAGGCAGTCTGGTAACAAGATAATCAGTTCTTGAGCCTGCAGAGCCTTGAGATCTGTGTATTGCACTGGCAGCATGTACAGTATGTGTTCTTAATTCAATCATAACTTGGTTACTATACAGTACACCCATTGCTTTTCACATATCCAGAATTAGACAATAATTAAATACAGCCAGCAGATCACACTAGGAGGTCAGTTTAAAATGTATATATTTGCTTGCTACTGGTTAAGTAATTGAATTATGCAATCAGTGTTTGTTAGACCATTCTGCAAATAAATTGTGAAATGCCATGCAATATCCCATATGTGAGCTACTGTGATGAATGCTGAGAATCTTGCCATCACAGTAACACACAATCCCTGCTCCATTATAGCAAAAGCCTATGTTTGGGATACTTCATCAGCCATGATTTAACAGGTCCTGGCTTGTGTCACTCTTGTCTGAGTGCTGATTTGAGTAAAAGAGCAGCCTGGTGTTTGCTGACCTGAATCTTTCTCACCCACACATGAGTGGAAACAGGTGCAGTAAAGAGGTGCTAATCCTCTCTTCAGCCACCAGTGAAATGTATATTGAAATAAAGACACGGAGAGCCACATGCCTCCTGTAAGTCAACACACGGCTGGGATGGTCCCTGGAGAATTGCACCATCTTGTCAGGAATACCAAGAGCAAGACAAGTGAACAGCAAAACAGAAACAAACTGCCCCTTCCTCTCCTGTGAATCCCTCCATTGTACCCTGCTGCTGAGCAATGTTTACTTTGTTAATATAAATAAGCAAAGGCTGTCACTTTCCTGCAGGTAATGCACTGACTTCTCTAATCCCTGCTAAATGTGGACTGATGATGGTGTTTCAGAGTGAGGTCGAATCTCTGCTCATGCTCTTGGTTTTATTTGATTCCGTGGTATTTCTTAGAATTCATGTTTGCTGCAATGCAATATAGACTGATTTAGAGGACTTTAAAAGCTTTTGAAAAGTAGCATTCAGTAAGATGCCTTAAAAATCATAGATCAGAGCCTGTATTTACTTGTCCAAAGCCCTTGATTCTCTTAATCCCAATCTGGAACTTTGTTTGCTGAATCGCTGCAGATGCAGCTGAGCAGTGATTTCAGATCCTCTGACAGAGCATGACTGCAGCCCCACTCTGCCTCTGCTGGGATGTGAATCCTGAGCCACACATCTCCACGCCTTAGACAGTGGCGAACTCTGCTGCTGAGAGAGAATTCAACACTGTCGGCCTTTCAGGAGGGGGCATCACTCCTGTAACATGCTCAGTGCACTGTATCTGTCTTTCCGAGCCATATTTCTTGAAGCCACAGGAGGGGTGCTTCAGGACAATCTAGAGAGAAAATACATTTACTTGCATTTGCATGTGAGTGCAACAGAGAGATTTTCTCAGATGATGGAAATTAGGTTTGACTTTAAATGAATAAAGAACACCGGCGGAGATTTCTCTCAGTCAGACCAGTTCTGAATAGTGTAGTTTGTAGTTATAGTATAGAAGCGGTAAGGTAACATGTTGATTGTACTGCATTTCCCAGAGGTTAAGGTTTCCAGAGGTTTGGGATTCTGTGCTCATATCTGGAATGTTGTGGATTGGATTCCCAGGTGAGACACTGCTGTTGTACCTTTGATCAAGGTACATCACCCGATTGCTCCAGTAAAATACCGCTATGTTTAAAGAAGTATAATTATAAATTTCTATGCAAGTGTCAGACAAATAATTTGGTACATTACGCCTAGAGTAGGATGTCTACCCAGCTGGGTGATTAACTCTGCGGAAAATAACAGCAACAATTCCCTTTGATCTCAATTTAAATATGGTAGGAGAAAAATAATAGCTATCCAGTTTTTGATGTCAGCAAGACAGGACGATAGCTTATTTGTGGCTGAGGAGTCAATGGGATTCTAAGACAAACACAGCTGTGTGTCATCAGAATTACAGTGAAAGTTAACATTGCGTTTCTTGGTCATGTCTCCTAGCTAGAGCATGTACTGTATAGGGAAACCAGTGTAGGCCCAAGCATGTAATGAGATAAATAACACCAGATTGTGAGGTATGATATGAGCTAGGAGAAAACACAGATAGAGAGGCCGACTGAGCAGTTAGTGTTTTATCATTGAAAGTGTCAGATGCTGCACTTACAGTAAATGTACAAGGTCAAGAACCGACGATATCAGTGTCTGAAGACAGAACTGATTTAGTGTGAACCCTTTGGAAATGGCTTGACAATAATGCATTTATTATTGCTTCACAATGTAGTACAGTATGTGTAGCTAGTCATTCTGCTTTAGCACTCAATGGATCTTATAGATCTACTGTAGAACTGGGCTGTTGTTATTAAACATATGGAATTTGTATTGTATTATGAATTGGGTAAGGTGCACTAAACATAAAGCCTTTATCAGAATGCCAGGCTAGGCTGTGTTACAAATGGAATTTTCAAGTGGATGTTTTTGGGAGGTTTTGGAAATCTGAGTTCAATATGCACCAGGCATGCTGATGCAAATGATGTGGTCTGCACAACAAGAGCTCAGCTAATCTGCCTGGCAAACGGCTGCTTTTTACTGCTGCTGGGCCGTTGGGTCTCTCAAAGACTGTGTCACCACACCACCACTGTTTCTGACATCTAAATCTCAGAAGAAGCTCCACGTCAGCAGTATTGCTAAGGCGGTGCCTGTTAAATAATTATTTGTCTTATCCTGTTGACTAGCTTGCCGCCAGGATACTTTAGCTGTAGGTTATTATTGAATTGACACTTTCACACCTCCTGCTCATGAACATATCGGTTGCTGAAGTCTTCATTTGTTTTCTCTGGAAAAATTCATTTATCTTTTGAACTCAGTTTGTTTTATTCTTATGTTAGACTGTGATTGTCAGCTTTTCATATTGTCCCTTGATTAGCAGAATTCTTGACACTGCCTTGAAACCACCTGTTTCTTGAGACGCCCATCAA